ATTTATATTTATTTATATAAAATATATCTTTATTTATATATTTTCTATTAATTAAATATTTAATAATTTATTAAATATTCTTATATTTTTTATTATATAATAAATTATTGTTATGTTTATTTTAAATAATATTTTTCTTTTAAAATTTTATTTAAATATATTATAGATAATAATAAACAAATTGCTAATATAACTTCATTTTTAAATAATATACATGTTTTATTTTTTAAATAATTTTAAATTTATAAAAAGCAATAAATTATCTTTATTTTTACATAAAAAGAATTTATTTTTTATTTATATACTAATTATAATTATATTTAATTTAAATGTATATTAATTATTTAAATAAAATAGTTGTAAAAATAATATAAATTCATATAAAAATATTTTTATTAAATATATAAATAATTTAAAATTTATAAATAATTTTTTTATAACTAAAAGTTTTTATTTTTTTAATTTTTTATTTAACAATTTTATACTTTTTTCTGTCTAAAATATTTAATTTATTAGGTTAAATAAATGTATTTTTATAAAACTTAAAATTTTTAAATAATATAAATATCTTATTTTTAATTAAATTTTTTATATAATTATTTAGATATTATGTAAATTTAATTAAAAAATAAAATTAATGATTTTATATCAATACATTTATTTTATATTTTGTTCTTATAAAAATTATATTTAATATTTGTTTTTAAGTATTGATATATTATTTATAAAGTTTATTCTCATTTAAATTCTAAAAACATAAGAAATATATTAAAATATTAAAAATATAATCTATTATTGCTTAAAAATTGTATATAAATTTACATATTTATTTTAAATATAATTCATTTTATTCTTATATGTAAAATGTAAATCTTAATATAATGATGAACCTTAAAAAAATAAAAATATAATTATTAAATTAAAATATTGATAAATATATAAATAAAAAAATAAATGTTTTTAAAATAATTAACAAAACATCATATATTCAAATTATTATTGTAACCATTAAATTTCCAGAAATCAGATATCTCATCCATATATGATTCAATAAATTTAAAAAATTAATTAAGCTAAATTGCACACGACGCAATTCGCTATAAACTTCTTCCTTCGGAAAAACGCGAATTAACTTACGAAGAAAAAAATAATGATAGAATAGTTTAAAGTTATTTCTCATATGCTGAATACAATATAAGAGTATATGAATCAATAAATACAAAAATAGATAATTTATAAGTAAATTATCCACGAAATTGTTATTACGAAGTGATTTTGCCTTGTAAAACCAATAAAAATATTGCTAAATTAATGGAGTTGTTTGATAAAAGAACAGTTCGTTTAGGCAGACTGTTCGAATTATACGATTATGTTGCTACTACAGTTGCTTATAAATATGTATATGTGAAATAGGCTGTAATAATGGCTGCGTGTGTAGATAATATTTAGTTTTATCAAAACGTTTGTCCAAGTAAAGATATTGTACTGAGAGGATATCCTACATTTATAGGAAGTTCTAGTATAGAAGTTTAGCTTGATTTATTATAGGAAAATATAGATACATAATAGCTTTAATTAATTGGGAAAGCCAATTTTCTGTTAGTTGCGAGAAATAAAGATAATATAAAATTTGCTCATTTAGTTCCTAAGTTATTATTTGATGAAGAAAATAATTTGAAAAATTGCCAATTATTATATCTTTTGGGATAATAAAATTAATAATAAAGAAAAAACGCATCATTAACTTCATTAAAAAAATAACCACCTTCTTAATAGGAAAATCTAATAATTCATAACTTTTTTACCTCTGAAGATATGAAAAAAAATAAAAGATAAATTAATCATACAAGATTGGATAAAAATATAATTATGCATAAATAAGTAAAAATTTATAATTAATTTAATATTTTATAAATAAAAATATATATATATATATAAATATATATATATATATGTATATATTTTTATTTTTTAAACATTTTATTTTTTATTTTTTCTGTAATTTAGATAAAATAAAATGTTAAAAAATATTATATATATATTAATAAAAGGATTCAAATTTACATGGAAATATTTTTGGAGGATACTTAATGAGAGAAGCCTATGAATTAGGATGGCTTTGTGGAACTTTACATGCTGAAACTTAATAAATAGTGATTTCTGCTATTGATGATTTCTAATTTATTAACGGTGTAGAAGTAGGCTCCATTTTAGAATTAAATGCTTAAGTAGGATACGTAAGTTATGATAATGTAATGCATATTGTTGTTGAGTGTTTTTCAGTAAATAAGTAACTTTAAGTGTTAAAGACTAATGATTTGCATTTAACTTTTGTTTTAGATTAACTTAATCCTATTAAAATTTAATAAGTTTATCCGAATACTTATAAAGAAGCAATGGTTTATTTAGATTCTTAACGTAGAGTTAAGAAATGCATGCATAATCATTGAATTTATTTTATTTTTAATTTTTTTTATTTAAATACTTTTTATATGTTAATTTTATTTTATTTTCTATTTTAGAAAAATATTTACTTTATAAGCTATTTTATTAATAATAAATAATAAACTTTTTATTAAATTATTATTATTAAAATTATTTTAGATAATTAGGTAATATATAAATATATATATATATATATATATATATATATATATATTATTATTTATACAAATAAATAATTATGATTTTATTTTATTACTGTTTCTATAAATTTAAATTTATATTTTTTATATAGCATCTTATTTATAAAAATTAATATTTTATATATTGAGATTATGAGACATACAATATTTATTTTCTTATTTTAGAAAACTTAATATCTTAATTATCAAAAAAATTTAATGAACATTAAAAAGTAAAATTATTTAAAATTACATAAAAAAATAGTCAATAAATAAATTTTATTATTATAAAGAAAATTAATTTTAACTTTATAGTTTTTTTGTATAAAATAATATTTTTATATATTTAATATTCTAATAAGTATAAAACCATATTTTTTAAAAAAACTATTTAATATAATATATATAATTTAATATTAACTTAAAAAAAAGATAATACTCAAAAAATTAAAAAATCAATAGAAATTAACTTATTCATCAATAAAAACTAAATCAGCAAAAGATCTCGCAACTTAAAAATATTCTTAGTCATTTTAATTATATTTCTAAGTAGGTATAAAACTAGAATAAATAAATTAATTTTCTTATTAGTTTTTTTCAATCTTAAACAAATTAAATTTAAGATTATTAGTTTTAGAATTTCCTGTAATAATTTTAATAGGAATAGATATATTCATTGCATAAAATTTTTAATTATCCTAAGCACTATAATAAATTCCACTGTTTCTACAATTAAGCATTTCGACATTAATACTAGAGGAGTCCCCACTATAATTACTTATTTTAGCACCCCAAATAGTTCCTTAAGTATTTACTAAAACTTCTAAATATTGATTTAAGTAATTTTCAGGTAACCCAACGATTATTCCGACTGAATTTTCCTTATATAAAGGATCATTACAATTTGTATATATAGATTAAAAATTATTTCCAGGAACATAAAAAGTTAAATCTAAATATTATCTTAATCGATGACATATATTTACTTTGGTACGAGGTTCAGCTATTCCTTGCTTATTATTGTATTAAAAAAAAGGAATGTATCCTGATTTTTTATAAAGGTTTTAAATATTATAATAAGTTTAGTGGTCAGCAGTGCATTAAGGTATATTTAATTTTTAGTATTATTAAATCGATTATATTTAGTAAATAATTATGATTATTTATATTAATATGTATAATACAATTAACATTTTTTTCATAAGAATATATTATATTATATTATATTATATTATATTATATTATAAAAATAATATAAAAAATTATAATTGTATTATTAAAATTTTTTACTTATATTGTTTTTAATATAAATATAAAAATTTATAATAAAAATAATTTCTTATATTATATATAATATATATTTAATTTTTTTTATATATAATATATATTTTAAATTAATTTATTTATATTTTTTAAGTTATAATAAATAAAATTATGATATAAAATATAAATATAATATATAAATATATATTTATATATATAAAAATTATATATATTTATTTTATATTTATTTATTTTCAATATTATATTATTACTATATAAGTTTTTTATAATATTTTTTTATAAATATATGTTTTATAAAATTTAATTATTCGTTTATTTCAATTTCATTATTATATTAATAATTTTAAATATATAAATTTAATCTATATTAATTTAAAACTTTATAAATAAATAATTATTAAAAATTATAAACTGAATAAATATGTTTGTTATATATTAGTTAGTCTATATGACTTTTGTTAAAAATAATATTTGTTTTATTAGAATTAAAAAGAATTATTTTTTAACTATTAATATTATATTATTTGAACATTTTTTTTTTTATTAAATAATAATATAATATAATTATAGTTAATATTTTTTATAAAAATAATTTAATTTATTTAAATTTACATTATTATTTATAAATTTTTTTTATTTTAAATAAATAACAACAAATTTTTATTTAATTATTATATTTGTAAAGATATTAAAAACATTAATTTTTTAAGAAAAAAATTATTTAATAAAAAATTAATTAAAATTTTAGTAATAAATTAAATATTTTATATAGTTTGACATATATTTATTAATATAAATATATAAATATTTATTTTTATTTTTATTTAAATAAAACAAATATTTTTAAAATTACTTTTTTATGTTTTAACTTTAGTACGTTTTAAAATTCCATAATATTTAAAAACAATTTATATAAATTAATATTTTTACAAAATTTTAAAAACGTAAAATTATGTTTATTAGTATCATATTAATTAAAAAAAAAAATAAAAATAGGAAAATAAAAAAAACTCATATATATAAAAATATAAATAAATCAAAAATTTATAAAAAAAAATGAAATTAAAAGCTATAATATTTATAGTATTTATATAAATAGCATTTTTAGCTGAATCAGGAAAAAAAATTAATGTTTTTAATCCATTAGAAACTATTGATTTATCTTAAGAAATTCTTTAGAGCGTAAATGAGGATAACTTTTAAAATACATATGAGATATTTTAAAAAGAAAAAGATTTCGAAGAAAGCCAAAATAAAGTATTAATGTTTAAAAAAAATGTTATAAATAATATAATGGAAGACAACACTGTAGATGAAAGTGTCCTTGATTAAATTGACATTACTAAAATTTAAAATATAGATAGTCTTGTAAAGGATAACGATAAAAAATACGCTTTGTTAACTAAAATGAAAAGTGAAAAAAAAATTAAAAATAACAATGAATAAGAAAAATAAAATCCACTCGATGGTGTTAATTTATCTTAAAATGTACTTTAAAGTGTAAATGAAGAAAATTTTTAGAATGTATATGAAATTTTATAAAAAGAAAAGGATTTTGAAGAAAGTGAGAATATTTAATTTGTTAATAAAAAATTGAAAAAAATATAAATATTAGATGAAAAAACTTTAGAAAAAATTGATATTACATAAATTAAAAGCTTAGATGATTTAGTTAGTAAAAACGATGAAGATATTGCTAATTTTGTCAAAAAAATATCTTCTTTAAAAAAAAAAGATGAAGAAAATGGTAATGATAATGAAGAAGATTTTACCGTTAAAACTAGATAAGAAGATATTCAAGATAAAAAAAATTATTAATAATTCACAGTTTCATAAAAAAATGCTACTTCACCTCCTTCAGACGTTCCAGTTTCATCTGGTACACCAACTACTCTACCTCCTTCTTAAACATCTTAAGAACTCGAAAGTCCATAAAAATAATAAGAAATCGAAAGTCCAAAAAAATAATAAGAAGAACCTAAAAAAGTAGAAGAAGAATAAAAAAATGTAAAAGAGGAACCTGAAAAAGCAGAAGAGGAATCTGAAAAACCTAAAAAGCAGAAGGGGAAGAAGAGGAACCTGAAAAAGAAGAGCCTAAAAAAGTAGAAGGGGAACCTGAAAAAGAAGAACCTAAGAAAGTAGAAGAGGAAGAAGAGGATCCTGAAAAGGAAGAAAATAAGAAAGTAGAAGGGGAAGATGAAGAACCTAAAAAAGCAGAAGGGGAGGTTGAGCAACCTGAAAAAGAAGAACCTAAAAAAGCAGAAGGGGAGTCTGAAAAAGAAGAACCTAAGAAAGCAGAAGGGGAAGAAGAAGAACCTGAAAAAGAAGAACCTAAGAAAGCAGAAGGGGAAGAAGAGGAACCTAAAAAAGAAGAACCTAAAAAAGCGGAAGGGGGATCTGAAAAAGAAGAGGAGTCTGTAAAAGAAGAGGAATCTGAGAAAGAAGAGGAGTCTGAAAAAGAAGAGGAATCTGAAAAAGAAGAGGAATCGGAAAAAGAAGAGGAATCTGAAAAAGAAGAGTCTAAAAAAGTAGAAGAAGAGTCTAAAAATGTATAAGAAGAATCTAAAAAAGTATAAGAAGAACTAAATAAAAAAGAAAAATCAGAAGAAGAAGATAAGATTTAAAAATTAAAAAGTCAATAATTCAAAAATAATTAAATTTATGTTGAAGATTCTCATCCTTCTGTTAAAAGATGTATTAAAAAAATATTAAATATAAATAATTTTTTTATATAGAACCAAAATCTAAAACACAAAAAGAAGAATTATTAACTAATGATGCTTATATAGGTGTTCCGTTTGAACCTAAAGTACCTGATACTATTAATACTTAATGTATTTATAAATTTTAAATTTGATTATTATTTTTTTAAAAAAATAAATATAGCAACTACTCCATATACTTTCCCAACTAATAATTATTAAGGTATATTTAAATTAATTAAAATAATAATTATATTTAACTTTTTTAAAAAATATAGAAGATTTACCTTTTGTACCTGGAATAATAACAAAATAAGAAGTAAATGCAAGTAAGACTATGCCACCAATGCCTCCGATGCCAAAAGGTATAATTTTTAAATTAATAAATAAATTTAATTTTTTTTTAAATAAAAATAAAAAGATAATATTATTAAAGATTTTGATATTTAAAAGAGTAAAAAAATATATATTTTTTTAAATGAATATATTAACAAAGATGCAGATTATGCAGTTGAAAGTGAAATTGAATCGGATGTCGAAACAGATTAAATAATAGATAATAATTGTAAAAAACATATATTTATTGTTAATTAATTTGTAATATTTAATTTATAAAAAAATCTACAGAAACTGTAAAAGCACCTAAAGAACCATCTATAAAAGTTGAAATAATAGATGATGATCCTAAAAATATGGAGTAAAATATTCCTAAATTTCCTGATGAATTTGGATATCTACCAATAGAAGATGATTAACTTTCTGTTTTAAATCCTAGAGATGGAATTATTGATGAAAATGGAGAAATATATTTCCCTCCTTAATAAAATGCTGAAAAACCTAAAGAAGAAGAAAGTATATAAATAAAATTTAATTTTCTTTTTTCTAATTTATTTTTTCTTAGTTATTGTTGTGAATAATGATAATACTGAAGGACCAAAAATCGAAGGTTAATATGATAAATAGCCAATACGTAGATAAAAATATTATATGGAAATATATATTTATTTATTTTTACATAGAAAATGAAATATTAGAAAAGAAAGATAATGATAAAATTACAAGCTGTATAAACAAAAAAAAATTTAAACTTATATATTTAATTTAAAATGAAAAAAAAGAAATTATTGATGATTCAGTAAAACCTTTTTAAGGAAAAAATAATGAATAAGAAAAAATAGACTAATTAATAGATGAAAAGGATTGTAAATTTATATAAATAAATTATTTTAAAAAACAAAAAATTAGAATTAGATGAAAATGAAATAAATAAACAATAATCATAAGAATTACCAAAACTAGAAAGCGATGATCGTAATTTATATATATCATCATATGCTTATAATTCATATATTAAAAAAATCAATAATTTAGAAATAGAAATTTCATTAAATTCAAATGATTTAGCTGCTCACGCAGAAAATGCCGAAGATAGGACTAAATAAGTTGACTTTAACACACCATCAAATCAAGTACCTGAACCATCTGAAAAAAACAAAACACGTACACCAACCCCTTATCCCAGAACATTGATTACACTTTCTTTGGATGAAGATGAAGTTCCTAAACCTTTAACTAGCAAATAACCAGTAAGTAGTTAATAAATCACAAGTGAAGAAATAATGAAAACGCTTACACCAACCTCTTAACCCACACCCGTAACCTCTGTTCTACCTACTTTAGAGGCTTTTAGACCTTTAACTAATAGATAACCAATTAGTACGCCAATAGTTTAATCTAATAATTAAACTGCAAGA